CGAGAACCCGACCTCCCTTTTTGGTTAAGGTGGGGAATTCCTGATGCTGCTAAGTTTTGTGAGGGTCGGGCCTATTTTGAGTCCTTAGAAATGGATAGGAAGATGCTCGAGGAGCTCGATCCTTTGATGCCAGACATGAATGCCATCTTCGGGGATGAAGTCCTAGACCTTGCTAATGTGAGAGGTGTCGAGGGTAGGGTTTTACTCTTTATATTCTCGAGCCCTTAGTCTCAAGGTTATGATCGATCTAATAAGTTTGATTATTTTTGTGCAGGAATGTCTTTCGATCACTCGGCACTTCGTAAGTTTGTGAATGCAAAGGCTAAGGCACCTCAGCCCCAGGCCGCCGCCTTGACGAAAGGGAATAGGAGAGCTTGAGTCTCAAGATGAGATGAACCATCAAGGGGGCTAGGCGAGACATCTTAGCCTAGACAGCAAGAACCGAGCCCGAGGCCAACCCGACAGCCGACTTCATCGCCCAACTAACTTCCTCCTCGTCGTACCCCCGAGGTCGTAGACCTCGAGGATGATTATATACCCTTTGTGGCCTCGGTGATTGAATACTTCGAGTGTTGCCACTTGGTACCAAGCATTGCGGCAAAATACTGAGGAGATGTAGGGTTCGACAAGGGGATGAAGGCCCTCGAGTTCCTTACTTTGAAGGTAAAAAGTCTGGATTAAGCTATGAATATATTTCATGTATTCTTTTGACAGACCCTGAGCGTTGCCTGAAGCCTTTCACTACAAGGGATGGATTAGTCCCATAAAATGGCCGGGCTCGTGGAGGCCATCGAGGTCAAGGACAACAAAATTGATGATCTGAAGGCTGAGAGCGAGGCCATTTTGAAAGAGCACGATGATGCCAGGAACAAGATGTGTGGGGCTCGAGATGAAGTCGAGACTGTCGGGATGAGGCTGAAGAGTTGAAGCTCAAGCTCGAGCGTAAATGTAAAGAATATGAAGGCGGGCTATTTGAGGCCAAGGATCGAGCTTGGGCAGATTTTAAGGTGTCCGATGAGTGTGACCGGGTAAAGGTTGAATATACCTCCGGGACGTACCTCCATGCCTTCAAAGAAGCTCGAGCTTTTCTACGATCGAGGCTCCCCAACGTTGAACCCAAGGATTTGAAATCATGCCCGACATGGCCGATAGCCTAGAGCTCTCGGACTCAGAAGATGTTGGCATCGAGGAGGAGGGTGAGGATGATGATGTTGAGATCGTGGCATCTAATCAGGCGCTAGAGCATGATGATCTAGATTAGGCCCCCTTTACCCCGATCCCTGATTTTGCAATTTTTACAATTTTTTTATTTTTGATCAAGTACATTGCCCTA